GAATGTAATATTTTCCCTTCCCTTGCCTGAGCTGCGCCCCTCTGCTTTGATCTGCTGCTACGCTCGTTCTATTACGTACATCAGCTGCATCTGACTATTCACCCGACAAATGAACTCAAAGTCAACAAGAATATTAATTTATGATGGCCGTTGTCACCAGGACATGCCGTCCCCATGCGTTGGGAAAATATGGCGCTATCCAATACTTACATAAAGTGCCCAATGGGAATATAGGAAAAGTGGTTAGTTTAATTTAGATTAGATTATTAATGCTATTGTGTTGTTGATTTTGCCATGAAAAGCATCCATGTGGGGATGCTAGTGTGGTCACGTGATGATTACTATCAAGTGAAAACCAATCTGGGATTGATCAGTAGCCCGATGATGACACGCGGTGAGAACACAAAGGTGTCAAGAACATGAGTTGGTGAAGGATCGCATTGTCACGAAAGAGAGCAACGTCACGCAAAAACATTAATTTATCACGTAGGGCCTACACTATTCGCCTTTTACATGACGCGCTTCATTTCCCAATTAGACACCAAATTGCATGTGTTCAAATCTACTAAAATATCATTCCAGTTTTCTCATATGAACATAAGCAACAATATAATCCTTGCCATGGTCTCGCGGATTCTCTGCCACTGCATCTTCAAACCTCTTGAAGAAGGCGTCGAGGATATTTGCCTTCTCCTCGAGTGAACGGCTATCGGATAGACCGTGAAGCAATTCGCTGTGCGCCCAAATGCGAAACGAACGAACATACGACTTCGCGTGAGCACGGGCCTCAGCAATGTCACCTGGAAGTTAAATAAAATGATTAGCATTCACGTCTTTACATCTAAAAAGCAAACAAAACTGGTGCACACGATAAATACTATACACATCAGGTAGGAATTATTTATCTCGTCATTTTGTCTGTAGCGGCGTCGATTTATAACGATTTATTGCAGTACAATAAAACATCATGTAAATATGTGTGTATCAGGATTATGATGATGCACCACATGGACAGAAGATGATTGCAGTAGAAGACTATTAATGGATAGAAACACCCACCCATACTCAGCTGCTGAGTTTGCAACAGTGTCGGGCCTCCTAACTAACGTGTCCTGGGTAGACACCACCTATAGGTGGAAAGAGACGTGTGAGGTGTGGCAGCGTGTATGATATGTAAGTGGAATTGTGCGGACATGCTGATGAAGCATGTCTAACAGGTAAGCTGACGTTGGCCTGGAAGACCATCGCTAGACCAGCCTGAGCCTCCTGGGGAAATCTCCGACTCTTCCCCGTGAAGCTTGACCTAGATTTAGGAATGACAGATGCCTGACCTCACTTTTGCCAGGATAATTTATGCCAAGGTAGTTGGCGTGGGGATACCAATTGTGCCAAAATATTGTTGATACTTTACAGAAGGAGAAGTCATATTAGTGCCACTGAAACAGACTTCTAGTTACTAGAGCCTTCCTGTTTCATTAGTGCATCCCTCACAAATAGAGTCGACTATTATGCCTGGGAACTTGTGCTTGGGAGTGTACACCCAGACGGCCGAGATATGAGTGTAGGTCAAGAATTAGCGGAGAAGGAAGTCCGTGAGTGGTCGTAGACAGCTAAACAGAGCAGGCTGGCAGTACGCATGCAAACATCAGCAATAAAGACCCGCCTGATTGCTAGCCAGCCATGCTGCGACTGGATGCAGGAAATCCCCTACTTTTCTTGATCAAGCCAATCGTGACCATAATGTGCCATGGCGGTGTAGCCCATGCTCGGACAAACTGCGGGACCTATCCACGGGGAAGAAAGAGAATATGGGGGCAAGGCAAGTCGACAATTGTCAACTTCGAGGGGAAGAAGGGGTGACCACATGGGGGCAGCAAAATGGTACAAACATCAAGGTAGCATATCTTCTCCGAAGCAAAAGTCAAAGTTTAAGATGTATTGCATGGTTGTTAAAACCAATGAGTCAAATTCAAATGACAAATTCAAGAGTCAATCAATTCAGGGGGTTTACTTAAGTCGGAAAATGGACAACCTCTACTATAGCTCTAAAAGAGACAAACTAAACGGCCTGTAGCCAGTAGGAAACAACAGTAAACCCAGAGAGCAGGCAAGAGAGACCGATATATATGTTGAACATAGGCTGGGCTTGTATTATGTATCATATCTATAGCAAATACGAAAAAGGATCATAAGGACTCTGAGGATGGGGAAAATGTAAGGGAGAAGCAGGATATAAATAGAGAACCATATACTAATGAAGAACAGCTTATGCGATGTCTATCGAATGGGCGTCGGGTGTGATGGACCTTGTAAGAGATCAAACGCTTTTCTCAGCGACTGCTGTCGCGCCTACACTCGGCTCTAAAATACTGTTGCCTCACCGCATTACATAGCTACACATCGTCATTCATAGCCTATACACCTGCTCAGTACATAAATGTCAAACTAATGTGCATTTACTAACCATCATCGCCGCTTTCAACCCATCTATCGTGGAAGTAGCAGTTGACTTGCTTTACTTCAATCGATACCAGGCGGAGGCCAAGCTTATAAACAGGTGAATCGACATTGATCAGAGGCTCCTTCAGTTCTTCCTCTGTGCGATAGTAAGCGTTGTGGTTCATGTTCTGAAACTCTTCCTGAAAGCGCAACACAGGATAAATATGTACATATTGGTTATAAGAAAAGCCCAAATCTACGTTTTAGTGTAGTGGCAAGGAGAGCCTAGGTTGTGCTGGAGATCTTATTATAATATTTATCTAGGAACTTTCGGTGTCCAAAAGACTCGATTAAATATTATTAGCCTATCTTATGTATTATTTCGATGGGAAATACCTTAGTAATAACGCCTCTATTCAACAATT